GCAGCTTGTGTGTGCAGCAGCAGCTTGTGTGTGCAGCAGCAGCTTGCAGACACAATGTAAAACTCAAGTTGCACGGCCAAAGAACGTGAGAAGGAAGGGGAAAGAGAAGAACCACTGAGAAGCTGTAGAAGAGCTCAGGAAAGCCTTGGGACGTCTGGGCGCCCATGTCCTCATCCTCACAGTCTGTTCTGGGCTAGGGGAGGATTCGAGGAGACCTGGCAGTGTGTGGCATGAAGCAGGCTGCCTGATACAGAGGACAGCTCTTAACTGCAATGTTAAAGTGGCTTTGCCTAAGGGTGTTCACAGCTCTTGCATAAGTCAGTTCAAATGACTACTGATGGCTGCTGACAGCCCCAGAGTGGACAGCTGGGTCTTGTCTGAGCTGGAGAGAGATGGTCTTCTGTCCATGGAAGCACTGGAATTGTTTAACATGGAACACCTTCCACTGTCCACTCATGGATTCTCCTCCCCAGCTACCCCGGTAATCACAGAGCAGCTGTGTCTGCTTCCCATGCTGAGCATGGAGAGCAGTGAGAGGACACCCACAAAGACACAAATGCACAGAGCCACAGGCTGGGGAGACGGCTTAGTGCACACAGCCCTTGCCATAGAAGTCTGGGGACAGAGTTCCGACACTCAGAACCCAGATGTGGTAGTGTGCGTTTGTAATCCCTGTGCACCTAGGTCGAGATGGGAGGTGGAAATGGGAAAATCCACAGAAGCTCATGAATGGGCTAGCCTGGTGTGTGTAGCAGTGAGCAAGAGACCTTGTCTCAACAAGGCGGCAGGTAAGGACTGACACCCAAGGCTGTCCCCTGACTTCCACACTCTTACATACAGTAACACAACCATGTCCACACACATACATACTAGACAGCACACAAAGTCACACACACACAGTCACACACACACACACACACACACACACACACGCACGCGCGCACGCACGCACACACACTCATGTGCAGAGTGGTGTGGGGGAAGGGGAATCATGTCTCCTCCCTGCCGTCCAACAGAACATCAGTGTAGTTGCAGGTGAACAAAGGTGAACGCTTCACTCACCAGCTCCCAGACCCCCACTTGCCTTTTCGAGGTGCAGGTTTATCCATCGTGTGAAAGTCCTCTTCTGCACATTTTCCCTCTCAACTGAAAACAAAGAAAGGCCATTAACCAGGGCGCAGAAGAAACATGGGCAAAATCTTGCCCTCCCTTCCCAGGGAGAGTCCACATAGGCAGATGGCAGACTGTCCCCTGCAGGGTCCTCTCTAGGGTCCCCAGCATGAGCAGAACTCTTCACAGAAGCGGGGCACCAGGGCCATAATGCAGCACCTGATCCCAGGTTTCCAGCCCAAGCTTGAGCCTCTAAGTACCCAATGAATTCACACTGACTGTGAGTGTCCAACCATCCGGCTGTAAGACGAATAGGCTCTAGCGGGAAGTGAAATGATCACACACAAAGACACAGGCTAGGCAGCTGCCTAGAGGTAGGGGTACAGAGCCCTGCGATGGGGAGATGGTTCAGTGGGTAAAGCCCTGGCCAGGTAAGCATGAGGACCGGAATTAGGATGCCCAGAACCCAGGGAAAACCAGACATAGTAGAGAGCATCTCTAATCCCAGAGCACCTCTGGCTTGGTCCCAGGCTGGGATGGAGCCAGTGGTTAGGGATCGGGATGGGAGCTCTGGGATGTGCTGGGGTGTTGGAGAAATAGTCTCCCAGGCTTAGGGCCAGACTCCCTGTCACCTTCCAGCTTCCTGGTTCAGGCCATTCTCCCATCCCCACTTCTGCTCAGCAAGCTGAGGATGAGGTGTCCACTCCCAAGTTTCCAGGTGTTTTGAGATAAGGTCAAGGATGGCTTCCAACTCGGGACCCTCCTGCCTCCGCCTCCGTAGTTCTGGGATTACATGCATGTGTCCCCATGCCCAGTGCTGTAGCTTTTACTTTTAGAGCTAAGAATAGAAGATTCCTCAGACACTTGCTGCCTAGCCATGGTGAGTGGCCGGCCCTAAACCGTGGATCCCTTCTGGAAGGGGAGGGCACTCTCTCACTGTGCTTCTTAGTAAGAACCACTCATTGTGCAGGACTGGCATCCATCAATTATGTTCTGTTGTTTATTAAACCGTAGGCCTGACAACGCCCCCCCCCACCTTAGCAACAACAGTTGCTAGGGAGAAACTGTCCTAAGGATGGACAACAGGAAGCAGAGCTGGGAATCACCTCAGGCCTGCCCCCTGGAGATGGAAAGTGTGTGTTCAGTTCCATCTCTCCCGGATAACCTGTAAGAGCAACAATGGCTTTTAAGAAATTCACGAGTCGGACAGTGGTGGCGCACACCTTTAATCCCAGTACTCGGGAGGCAGAAGCAGGCGGATCTCTGTGAGTTCGAGGCCAGCCTGGGCTACAGAGTGAGTTCCAGGAAAGGCATCAAAGCTACAGAGAGAAACCCTGTCTCAAAAAAACAAAAAAACAAAAAACAAAAAAAAACCAAAACCCAAAAACAAAACAAAAAAAACAAAGAAAGATTCAGTGAGTGGGGCCTGGGGAGATGGCTCAGTGGGTAAAATGCTTGCTCTGTAAGCACGAAGACCTGAGTTCAAATCCTCAGTGCCCATGTAGAAGCTAGGTGCCTCAATGTATCTCTGCAACCCCAGTCTGGGGAATCGGTAAAAGGTGGGTCCTGGGGGACCCCTGGCCAGCCAGCCTAGATGGTACAGCAAGCCTCAAGTTCAGTGAGAGACCATGTCTCACACAGCGTGGAGAGCAATAGAGGAAGACACCAGACCACCTCTGGTCTCCACATGTGCACATCTGTATGGGTACATACCTATCCACACACATGCATTTTACACACTCCTGTGTGTATGTATGTATATATATATACATATACACACACACACACACACACACACACACACACACACACACGAACACACATGTTTTACACACACATTCTTTATAGATGAATAAACTAGGGCTAAATGCCCCTCCTTTCCTCCCCCTCCCTCCTGAGCTCTGTGGTCCTAGCCATCCCAGACCCATTAAAGACCTAGGTGGTGTTCCTCTGAGGGTCATAGCACCAGAATCTATATCTTGATGCACAGTGGCCTATGGTGGCTGCCACCTTGGTGTCCAGCCGCCATGCCTCTCAGTGAAACTTTCCTGGGGTGCTGAGCCAGACAACTACTAATTTACCCCCAGATTACTAAGTTCCGGATTTCAGCACAGTAGAAGAACACACTCGAGATGGCAGAAAACATTTCATACTCCTTTAGCAAGGAGAAATTGAGAGCCAATTTGTCTGCCGCCCGAGAAAAAGGCTTCACTTTTCCATAATGACTACAGTGCTTTTGGGCTCTTGGCCACATTATTAGGTAGATAGTGGCACCCATAAATCAGATTTTAATATTGTGCTGTTCATGCTTTTTAATTGAAGAGCCCGCAGACAGTAATTATGCACATAACTGCTTTCCTCTCATCCGTCTCCTTTTCTAAAGAAGGTCACTGACAAGTAGGCTTGAGATTTAAAGCTCTGATCCTGGCAGGCTGTGCTTCCTGGAGAGGGAAAGGAACGGTTGGCAGAAGTTAAGAGTTAGGACAAGGAGGCACTTGCTGAGATAACTGAGTCTCAGAATCCCAGAGACTTCTGAAAGCTGGAGCGGCCCAGCTCAAGCTCCAGTTGAGAATTGCCCACCTCTGTTCATAGATCTATCTTGATCTTTTTGGTGGCTGAAGTTTTCCAGGGTACTTCCTGGGCTACCATCCCCTGCTCAATGGATGCTGTGACAACTTTTAGTCTGCCACTAACAGGAGTGACACCCCAATGTGCAGCCTTGCATCGGCACCCCGGCACACAGCTCTTTGTGCACAAGCACGTGAATGCATTTCTCATCCTTGACAGCTCAAAGTGGGGCTGCTGGGTCTTAGTGGTAGGCACATTTAAAATTTTAACAGCCACTTCCAAACTGCCCTCCCCAAAGGCTGCCCGAGTTTATACTTTCACCCTCATCTGTCTTTAAACAAGTTTATGGGGATTGTAAAGTATTTACACACACATTCAAACGCCCAGGCTAGCTTCTCCAGCTGGTCTCAGAGAGAGTGAAGTCTAGTCCCGGAACAGAAAAGCATTTAGTAAGAAGGCTGAGAGAGAACTCACAGCTTAACGGCATGTGGGGGTACAAATGTGAATAGGGGTGTCTGTTGGTCTACACAGGCCCTACCCATCTACCCACTGATCCACAACCACATAACCTCTTCTTCTCATCCATCCATTCAACCAACCACTTATCTCCTACCATTCCTCCATCTGTCTATCCGTCTACCACCCACATAACTACCCACCTATTCACCTGCCCAACATGGCATCCACTTACCCACTCAACCATCTACCTGCCCATCCACCCACTCACCCATCCATACTCCCAGCTGATATTTATACAAGGATTACTAGACGCTGGAGCGATGCCAGGCCCTGTCAGCAATGAAGAATTAAGCATTCACAGAATCTGCACTCCAAGAATTCAGACAAGGAGGAGAGAGGAACAAAGATACCACGTGGTACAAATGAAAGGGAAAACTGATTAGAAGAGCCCAGGGTGACAGGGACGGGGACAGGTGACATTGTATTCCATAGGTACTCTTCGCAGGTCCTACAGGAGAAGTGGGACACAGAGGGACTCCCGAAGGCAAAGGCTGTGTATTCAAACACTGCCCTGATTTAGAACCAACCCTGAGGTGGCTTTGCGTCTGTCCCCAACAATCTCTGTGGGCAAACCTGCACATAGATCACCTTCTACAAGAGGCGTATGGTGATGACTGATGGCCAGCAGGGGACAGTCAGACACAGTCACAAACAGCAGACAAGTTCCAAACTGAAAGACGATATGAAGGACATAATTTCAGTGTTTAAAACTGGGACACATCACTCCATACACAGGAGAAGGGTCTGAGGGAACTCCAGACTGCCCTGCACAACCACTTCACGTCACACTGCACAACCCTGGGCAAGTTCACACTCTACAGAATGAGGACCGCCAGGCCGAGGAAGGCTATGGGAGTGCTTGAAGTCACCCTGAGACCATCCCTAGCAGCCGCTGCCTCCGGGCCGGTTTCCCTGGCCCTGGCTCACACGGCACACCCTGAACTTAGGGATTTTTGTCTGGTGTCTCGACAGAGGCCCAATGCACTCGCATGGCAGTCTCCATTGCAAAACGTGCCCCCCTCCTGCAGGCATTCCTACTTCAGGCCTGCCAAGACTCCATAAACTTTATATAGTTTCCATAAATCCAACGGCCCCTTTTTTCCTCTCACGTTGTAAAGGCGTAGGAAACCGTTTCTCTGGAAAGGTCTGGCCGGCGCACAGAGTGGCTGTGGGGCCCAATGTGGGCAACAATGAAGTAATAACAGCCCTGTAAAATTGCCATCCCAGCTCTGCCTGGCTAGTGGGGGTGCAGGAGAAGCAGGGGGTGGGGCAGAGGGAGAACTCACCAGGCCCAGGACCCCAAAGACTAGGCGGAGGGGCAGGAGACGGGAGGTCCTGCTGTCTAGCTCAAGGCCACAGGCCCAAATTCTCAGATACAATTCTGCCTCTGGCTTTGCCAAAAAATAGATTAAATCTGAAACTGGAAGGAGGAACATTCCTCCCATCTGCAAGCACCTAGGGGTGGGCAGGCTTAGGAGCTGGTGGCCACTGAGAAAGAGACATGTTCTAGGAGTTAAAATAGATTGCTTCAGATATAAGCATGGACCTCACCCTTCATCAAGGAAATTTCTCTTGGCAATAGACAGAGACCATTACAGAAAACCACAACCAATCAAAATGCAGAGTTGTGGAGTCCAGTCCAGTGGACATATCTACAAAGCACTTCAGCACCTAAGGCTCAGGGATCACTGTGGAAGAAGGGGAGGAAAGACTGTAAGAGGATCATAGAGTTTGCTGTTAAATTGTGTCTCCCAGGAATGTGGGACGCTGCACCCATAAAGTCTCATCACTGTAACTGCCGAAACATGAGCAGAACAAGGACATAACAAAAGACACGCCAACATGGATGTGGGGGCAGGGGCGGGGGAGCCCAGGAGGCCTCAACCCTGCACAAAGAACTACAGACAACTAAGGAATGCCAAGAGGGAGGAGAAATAATCTTCCCCAGG